AGGATGGACCCGCGGACACAGGTGATGAGGCAGATGATGCTACATGGCATCCGACCTTTGTTGTGTATGCCTTGGACACCACGCCCTCGCACTATCAGGTTGCCCTTGAAGCCCCGTGTTCTGTTGAGCGAGCACTTCAGGAGTTGGCTGGCGTCATTCCGATTGAGCGTTATCGGTACTTCCCACGCCTGTTGGCCATAGAGCCCCAACCTTCTCAATTTTGGGCCGCGGTTGTTGCACTACCCCCGTGGACCCACAGTGAACACCTGGTGCTGCTGAATTTGCTTGCGCTGGACAGCCGTTGTTTTGCGGCACCTTTGCCAAGCCCCTTCACCCGTGCTCAGGTGCTAGCAGCAGCTCGCTTGGAACCAGACCACAACTGTGATGTCTTCGCGTTCAATCAGTTTGTTCCCATGAACCGTGAGCAAGAGTGCGACGTGATAGAAGCAGGAATGATTACCCTGCGGCCTCCAGACGGCCCTTTCGTGGTTCAGGGCCCGTCATTGCGTAACATGCTTGCTTCTTCTTTTGGATGGGACCCCGATCCAGTCCTGCCGCGTCCCGCCTCAGCCGAGCGTGTGTGTGTAGTGCTTGACACCACCTCCCACATGCTGGAACTAGAAGCCAGAACGGAGGATCTGCATGCAGTAATTGCGAGCCATTTCGGTTGTGCTAACTCTCCTACACACTTTGCCGTCAGCCACCCAGAGGTCCGGGACGTGCAGTGTTATGGCCTCGACTGTGCACGTCTCTGTGCTTTTGTACCGGCCGATGCCACCACGGCACAGCTTGCAGAGCCACCATGCCTTATCATCTTAGACTGTCGGCCTTTGCTTCAAGGCCTGACGATTTGGATGTCACATCAGCCCAGAATCATGCACTCAGACATCACCGTTTGGGCGGAGACCTTTGCGCCCGAAGGCTGGCAGGTTCAAATTGAGGGTGCTGACATTGATGAAGGACAACTCCTCGTTTATGATGGATGCGTTTTGACTCTAGAGTTTGTCCCGGTGACGTCATCGGAATCGGAGGTCGAAGAAGTTGGAGGCACCACCTTTGACAGTACGGACTCAGGCTCGGATGGTTCTTCCTCATCCTCGCCTCAGGATCCTCCCAGCCAGCAGCCCTCACCAGCGCCGAGACAGTCAGCTGGTAGTCGAAGTCGGTCGCCTCGTACGCCTGCACAGCGCGACGGAAGAGCACGCGGATGCTCTAGCTTTTATGGTGGACTTTCATGTCGGGCAGACCACCTCACGGTCAGCGGGGGGCTTTTGTTTTGCCAACTCCTTCCGGTTGCTGGCCACGACCTCACACAAGACCCCAGCCACGATGCAGACAGGCTCAGGTCAATGTGTTTAGGGTTGCTGACCTTGTTTGAGTGCCTTCGGCAAAGTGCCCTTCTTGTAGTCAGCCAGTACATGGTCTTGTCGGCCTGCAAGTTGCTCCAAGAGCTGATGGCCCCCACCGGGCCAGCCGGTGCAAGATTATCGGGCCTTCTTGACATTACGCAACGTTTGCAACTGCCGTGGCTGTTTGAACAGGACAGCGCGGACCCAGATGACCTGGGCCTTCACCGAGATGGACAAGAGGACAACCATCAGGACGAAGGTGCCACAGTCGATGTCACTTTTGCGGTTCTGATTCCCGACTACGTAGCGGAATATGTCCCTGTCTCCCTCTCCCTTCCCATTACAGAGCTCGAGGCGATCGCAGTTCTCGCCTCTGCCCGCAGCACAGGCCAACACTTGCGTTTTCCACATGTTGTTCCAGTGCGTCCACAGGTCAGGCCAGGTCTTGCCATCTGTGTCGCTGCCCCACGGTGGCACCAATACGCAGTTATTATCTGTGTAGACGCAGGGGAGCTCGATGGTCGTGTCTTTGCAGAGTATGGGCCACACTATGCAGACAGGGATCACCTCCTCTGGTTGGCTGACTTGCCACTCAACACAGAGTGTGATGTGCTAGTGGGAGATGATGAAGAGCCCCTACAACCTGACATCTTAGTTCATTTGGTTGCGGGGGTTCTAGTCCAGTTTTTGCCTAGGGCGGTGGGTTCTAGGCCCAGGTTCCCCCTGCATTTGCACTTTCATCAGACGTCAACGGCCGCCCGGCAGATCTTGCCCCGACCAGAGCTTCAGCGAGCTTACTGTTTAGCCCTTTCGGATGCTCATCGCCTTATGCCGGGCAGCTTCGAGCATCCTCTGCAATTTCGGGAACATGTAGCCAGAGTCGCAGGACTTGAGGAGGCTCATTTGCACACTCTTCCGGCGTTTCCTGCCATCACGGACGTTGCACTTCACGGTGTCCCTTGTCGGGGTGTCGTTGGGGTTTTTAACGGGTGCCCAGTCGATCAGACCATGCAGGCTCTCGTGCTAGACTGTCGCCCAGTCCAAGGGGGAATCAGGCTGTATCGCGTGCCGGCAGCCACTTTCACTCTAGAACGTCTGCGCGAGCTTTTGCAAACAGACGCACCTTGGGGGTGGTATGTTAGGCTGACGGCACATGGTGCTTTCCAGGAGGCTCCTCCTACGCAACAAGCCCCTGTTTGGCTCGTGGACTACAGTCCTGTTGATGCCCCCGAGACCGAAGCACCAGAAAGCACTTCCCATGCCTCTTCGGAGGGCACCACCCACTCAGAATTGCAGCGTGGCCAAACAGAAGTGCCCAGCGCTACTGGTCCAGACCAGTCTGGCGCTAATGAGTCACCCGATGTTGGACTGGCATCTTCATGGACCACAGCCATGGCTGAAATGTGCATTCCCTTCACAGTACTGGCCGTCGACTATGCTCCGGAACATGGGGCCATCTTTGCAAGCTTTCCTGTCAGCCTTGACACCGTCACAGACAGTGTAGCACAAGCTCGCCAGCAATCATCCAAGGACCCGTTTCCTTGCCTCATTCCTGTAGATCCACAACCAGATTTGGACAGAGCCTACTTTGTAGCTCTCCCTACATGGGCAATCACCGGCTTCTGTGTCTTTTTTGACACCCGAGCCGTCGATGGGCGTCTGTTTGCAGTCAATTTGCCTGCCTTCACGGACCGACAACGGCTCCTGCGTGTTGCACAACTTGAGGGGACCCCTTTCCTCCAGGTCTTCTTCAGGGAAATGCCCTGGCCCCTGCAGGACGATCAGCGGATCTACCTCTCGACAGGAGACCTCGTATGCATTTGCCCAGTGGATCATGACATTACTGTACTGGCGACGCTGGAAGCACGGCTCTTGGATCCCAGCAGTTGGCCAGCCGGCGAGCCGGACCGCCCCGCGCTCGACCGTTCAATGTGGGTCATGACGACGGACTCGCGCCACAGGATCCCTCACTCAGCCACCCGCGGATCCAACATGCGGCGAGCAGTGGCCGATACCTTGCATTTAGACCCCCTCACACTTCGCATCAGCACAGCAGTGCCGGGAGTTTCGGATTTCTCATTCCGGGGATGGCACACTGACTCGATCCTTGTTGCTGTTTCCAATGAGGATCGAACCTGGGGAGCGCCCCCTTCCAATTGCACATATATCCTGGATAAGAGAGCACTGATGCTCGGGATCACCTGGGGCACTGCTTGGGGCGGAGTTGTGGACCTCCGCGTCCATTTTGACAGCTTGGAAGGTTGGTGTCCAGCAGGCTATGTCATCAATATACAAGGGGGCCGAGCCATGCCGTGGCCCCGGCGTTTCCTGCGCCATGTGCGGGATGGTGCTGTCCTAGTCGTCGATATTAGTCCGATCAGTCCGCGGACAGGGTCAGTCCTCCCCAATGTTGGGCATCTTCCTCCTGAGGAGGACGTGGATGACGACACCAGTCGGGGACCAGGCCCTTTCGCAGGGCAGGGGAACAGTGGCCCTGCAGCTGATGGTGGCACGGGAGGCTTCTTCGGGGCAGCCTCGTCATCCAGTACTGCCCTTTTTCAGGGTGACAGCAGACAGATGCAGTTTTTGCTCCCTGTTGCAACAGTTGGCTTCCAGTTCCGGCCCCTGCACCGGCTCTGGGCCAGTTCGGGCAGGTTTCAGCAGCTCGACATGTGGGTTAGAGGTATGATCTGGATTGCCGTTCGAGCGGGCGCCCTTGCACTCACCTCTGTCCTTGCTGCTCTTTTTCCTCTGCTCCTATGGTCGACGGCAACAGCCGTCCTTGCTTTCATCGGCTGTGGTGGTTTCGTCTGGTGGACCAGTCGCCCATGGACATTGCGCCTCACAGTTGGATTTCTTTGCGTCAGATCCATGACTGCAACCCCAGTACTGCCAGAGCATACTCCAAGTGGACCTCAGACACGGGATCTGCAGGCGCAAGGCTTGTGGCAGTCTCCAGCACTCAGATGCCTAACCACTCCCGTCAGCTGGCCAGCGGGTCGACACATTCCCACTCCATGCAGGGCTCATCCCAGAACCCCAGTCCTGGAAATCGCGACTACACAGGAGTCGCTCGACGATCTCCTAGATCACACCGCGCTGGTAACCCTGCTGGAGGAGGCAGTCGCCAGGCCCGACTCTGAAGCCCTGATGCTGGCCTCAACCCTGTTAGATGTACTGACGGAGCATCTTGCAGTCAAGCCTGTTGTTCAGCGTGTTTGTCACGTACCTCACATCGACCAGCCGCTGACCGTCTGCTTGGAAAGCAGTCTTCCCCTTACCGAGCATCAAAGCAATGCCCTCACCCTGGCCGGTCTTGTGCCCGCGGTAGCACATATGGATGAGTCAGACTGGCTAGACAGCGACATTGGCTTTCTACTCGGTGACAGTCTTGTCCCGCACGTGGGTTCCCGGCGAGAGCACGCAGTGCCCGGATAGATTGCTTGTCTTTTCAGACGGTTCCACCGGATGTGCTTCAGACACAGACGGACTGTGTGCTCCTGGGTGTTGGGCCTTCTCAGTGTGGGTTGCATCAGGTGCCGAGGTTTTTCTAGTAGGACAGGCCAGTGGATCCTCTAGGCCCCCAGATGACCCGTTCCACATCGGAGAAATCGATGATTCTCCGCTTACCTGTGAGCTCCTGGGTGTGGCATGGGGTCTGGTCTGGATCATCGAGTTTGCACCGAGGCTTTGTTTGCCTGTGTGTCAGCTTTATGACTGTACCGCAGCGGGGCATGGCACCTTTGCCACTGCCCGACTCGCAGGGTCTGACCCTGCATCACCAAACCGCTTAGCACTTTTTGCCACGAACCTTAGGCAGCTTGCCAATCAGAGGGTCAGCCTTGATCATGCTCACGTCAAAGGTCATGCAGGTCAGGTTTGCAACGAACTCTGTGATGAGCTCGCTAAACATCGCCGTAGGCATGCTCAACAGGTCGATCAAGTGCTTCTGCCGGACTGGCCGGCGAAGGTGTTCGAGCACCCTCAACGCGAGTGGATCTGGTTGACTGGTGTTGCATGCCAGGACCTCCCTACGCTCTTTGCGTTTGAGTCTGAAGCCATCAGACTGCAAAGCAGCCCGCGGCTCCCGAGTGAGGACCCTGTATTGGGTTTTGTCCCAGAGCCACAGACGAGCACTCTCGTTCCCTTGCAGTTTGCGCTCATGTCATACAATGTTTTGACACTCTATGACCCCAAACGAGCTGGTCAGCCACAGCTCGGAGTGGGCATGCGAGTCAGAGCCAAGAGGGACATCATTAAGCGGCAACTGCAGGAACACCGTGTACTTCTTCTAGGTGGAACACCGTGTACTTCTTCTAGGTCTACAAGAGACCAGAATTGTCGGGACCGAGATGCCTCCAGACCAGGATTTCCTTATGCTGCAGGCGTCCGCGGAGGAAAACGGACATCACGGTGTGGCGCTCTGGGTTTCCAAGCGTCCTCCTTATGCTTCTGTTCGGGGCAAGGACCTGGTTTTCCGCAAAGAGCACTGCTGTGTTGTTGGTTTTTCAAGCCGACACCTGGTCGTTCAGTTCACGGCTCCACTCATTTCTTGGACTGTCCTGGTAGCACATGCGCCATCAGAGCCTCCGGCTCCACCGGGGACATCCAAAGCCTTCTGGGCACAATGCAAGAAGGACCTCGAGCGTAGGCCCAAAGGTTCGGACATCATTGTCTTGACGGATGCCAATGCCTGGCTCGGTTCTCTCGTCTCGCCCTCCGTCTCCGACCTGGACTTGGAGCCGGAGAACCTTTCTGGTGAGCAATTTCACCATTTCCTTGCGGAGATGGATCTGTGGGTCCCGTCCACGTTCAGATCCTGCCATTCCGGCCCCAGTGGAACCTGGACGGCACCCACCGGACACGAGCACCGCCTTGATTATGTGGCTGTTCCTCTTGGATGGCCGTCGGATGCCGTCGCCTCATCTGTTCTTGTAGACTTTGAGTCTCTCCAGGTGGGCCAAGACCATAAGCCAGTTCTGATGAGAGTTGGTTTGATCGCCAAAACAGGAGCCACCAAGAGCAAAGGCGCCTACAAAAGACAGGCCCTGCGGCCGACAGCAGATGCCTATTCCCCAGCCTACTTGGCGGCCCTGGCCATGATGCCCAGTAGTCCAGGTCTTGCCTGTGACACATGTGTGGATCGCCACTATGTTACCCTTGTGGAATCCTGGAACAGGGCGGGACAGGTCTTACAGGCACAGGCCGCTGCCAAGCCTCAACAAGAATACATACAGCCGCACACCATGAGTATAGTTCATGCGCGCAGGGGCTTGAGGGAGTTCCTTTCCTTGGAGAACGGAGAACTTCGAAGGCGTCGTCTTCTGTTGGGCTTTGCCGCCTTTCTTCACCTGCGAGGTCATACTTCCTTTCCGGCAGCTGCAGTGACCAGATACTCGGAATGGTTCAGCTACAGCCATCGTCGCATTGCGAGCGCCCTACGTATGGTGCGACTTGTGGGCTTTCACTTACGCCAAGCTGTCCGTGCAGATCGGGCGGCCTACTTGGACGGCCTAGTCCGCAACATCACCTTGTCGGACATCAAGGACCCCAAGCACCTGTTCAGAGCGGTTAGGAAGGCCTTCCCAAGTGCAGCCTCAAGCGGAGGCAGGCTTTTACGCCCCTTCCTGCCGTGGCAGACGCACAAGGTGTTCTTGCCCCGGATGTAGCTTCCCAACCGGAGCTTTGGCGCGCTCATTTTGCAAGCCTCGAGGCAGGTGAAAAGCTAGAGCCAGGACAGTATGCTGCCGCGTTCCGAAACCAACGCAGCGCCAACCTGGAACGGAAGCCGCGTTTTGATTTCCGGATTGTGCCCTCATTGACGACGGTGGAGCAGTCCATTTTATCTTTGAAACGTGGCAAGGCTTGCGGACAAGACGGGCTCACAGCTGAACTACTCCGCAACAGCACCGCTTTGTCGGCGAGAGCACTGCTTCCCGTCTTCGTCAAAAGTATACTAGGGGCACAGGAGCCAGTTGAGTACCGGGGTGGCGCGCTCATGCCTTTGGCCAAGAAGGCGTCTTCAGCATTCTCCTGCGCCAAATTTCGTGCAATCCTTTTGTCCTGCGTGCCCAGCAAGATGCTTCACAAGCACGTCCGTACTTGTCTCAGCGCCCATTTGTCGCCAAGTGCTCTTCAGGCTGGGGTGCTCCCAGGCGTCAGTACGGAATCCATCGCTCTGGCGGCCAGAGCGTTTCAGTCCTTCTGTCACTGTAATGCTCAGCCCTGGGCACTTCTGTTCTTCGATGTGCGTTCGGCCTTCTATAGAGTTATAAGACAGCTTTTGTTGCCAGTCGGGGACTCTGACAGTGCCCTTCTCAGCCTCTTCAGCCGCTTACGCTTGCCCCCGGCTTTTATCGAGGAGCTCAGGGACCATCTTGCCCGGCTTGCGACTGTTTCGCAAACGAGCTGCAGCGACAATTTGCGCAAGGTTGCAACAGACGTGCTTCAGGGTACTTGGTTCAGGTTGGATCAAGATACTGCGCTTACGCTCACTCACTGCGGGACCAGACCCGGAGACGGGTTAGCCGACATGTTTTTCGGGTTTGCGTTTAGCGCGTATCTAAAAGCGGCGGACCAGGCTTTACAGGAGCGTGGTTTAGACACCCGCATGCCCGAGCCCAAGCACGCTGAACCGTGGCCTCTGGAATCCCTACCTCCCACGATAGGGGCGGGCTCATGGGCGGACGATTTCGTCCACCTGCATGCGCAGGGCCAGCCTAGTGGTTTGGGTCGTGCGATACAGCAGATCGTTCCCGTGTATGTTACACAGGCGGAGGCCATCGGCATGGAGTTGACATTTGCAGTGGACAAGACCGCTGCCATGGTCGCACCCAAAGACAGAGTACGCGACGATGACTGGACAGGCATCACCGATGCCGACGGGCCCTTTCTTTGGGTTCGAGCACCTCAGTGGGACAGACTACCGCTTGCCTGTGGTGCACGCCTACTGTCACCTTGGGGGTGTGGTCACCGAGACTCTCACTCCAGCCCCAGAGATTGGACTTCGATACTCTCTGGCAGCAAACATGGTGAGGTCCCTGGGCCGCAAACTCTTTGGTTCACGTCATGTTCCCTTGGGGACTCGGCGCTGCCTCTTGCGATCCCTCGTGCTGTCGAAGTTTGTTTTTGGCAGTGCTGTAGTCAGGTTTGGATCGGCCATCCACTTTCGCAATTGGGCCAAACACTATGTGGCGCTCTGGAGGGCTTTGCACCCTTGGCTAGCCACTAACAAGCAGCCTCACGCTTACCAGGTGCTGCGCACTGCTGAGGCGCCATCTCCGCCGCTTGCTCTGGCCCTTGCAAGATCTGTCTTGCTGCGACAGATCGTCGCGAAGGGGCCTAGCACTCTCGTTCGGCTTTTGTGGGTACAGTGGGAGCAGGATTCCGCAGGTTCCTGGTTCGGGGCCTTGGTCCAGGATGTGCGGCATGCTGCGCAGTACGTCCCGGCAGCTCGCCTCCTGCTTTCCACCACCTGTCCTCTACGTGCTCTGCTGGAGGCTGTGCGAGATGATGGTATGTGGTGGACGAGACAGCTAAAAAAGGCCGCCAAAGTTTTCCAGTCCGATTTGGACACCTGGGCCCAAGTGGGGCATAGCCCAGCAACCAATGAGCAAGATGAAGCGGCTCCGTCTCCTCCGCCGGACCTTTGCTTTCGCTGCACCCTGTGTCCTGCCGCCTTTCCTCTGAGGAAACATCTTGCAGTCCACGAGGCGCGTAAGCACGGACTCATCTCGGTTACCAGGCTCCTTTCCCCAGGCCCGACGTGTCTGGCCTGCATGAGGCACTACGACTCGACAGAGCGAGCCCAGTACCACCTCAAAAGCTCCCACACATGCCTACACCGTGTCGCGCGTTTGATTCCACCCCTCTCCGTTGATGAAGTTAAAGATGCTGAGCGTGACTGCAAACGCCTGAAGCGTCAGGTTGTTCATGGCAAATGGGAGCTTTATAAGGCCCCTGAGCAGGTACAGGTCGCGGCGGGACCGAAGCTTCTGACAGCTCATGAAAGAGTTGCGGCGGAGGGAGAAGAAATCTCTCTCCGGACGCTGGCTGGGCTCTTTCATCCCTGCCCGGATTTCCTGCGTCGAGTTGACGCCTATATCGCGGATCGCTCTCAGGAAGGACCTCGCCGAACATCGGCTAGCTTCTGGGATCGCCGACCCCGATAAGGCGTTTTCTCCGTTTCACCCGCATGAGAATTTAGGTTTAGCGGACGCGCCCTCGCGGCACTGGAGTCCATCAGAAAAGAAAGAAGTATACTATTTTGGGGGGTTCCTTGTTCTAGCTATAGTAGAATGGGCACCACAACCCTATTCTAATTATTCAACTCCCCTACATTAGTCTTATTGTGTATTGTGACTTTTATTGTTATTATTACCGTTACGACTACGAATTTTTCTTATTCTTAACAGTGCTAGTCTTATGGCTACTATTATTATTAGTAGTACCCACGGCCGAAACTTCTTCATTTGGAGCTTTGCTCGTTGTTTTGGTTCTATTACTCTTGCTACTGCATTGAATTTGTTATTCTACGCGTTTCAGTACTGCAGTTATGGTCCGAAGCTTTGTGCACGAGAGAGAGGGTGTGTTTCTGCTTTAGCTTTCTATTTGGGGTGGTGTCAGGCCACAGGATTTTGCGGTTTGTGGGCTTCCCTAAACCCTAAACCCTAAACCGTGCATAAAGACGGGTGAGAGCCTCAGGAGTGGTCGGAGCGCGAAAGCCACGAAGAGATAACTCAGCCACCAAGCATTACAGCGTGCTTACTAAGTAAGCCTAAAGCCCAAAACCCCAAACCCAAAACCTAAACCCCTGAAGCCCTAAACCCGAAGCCCAACACCCCCAAAACTTAAAGTTTAAACCCTAAACCCAAAACCCCTAAGCCCTGAGGATACCTCCGCCGAAGGGCCACCCTGCTCGCAAGGCACCAACAGTGTTTCAAAGGCTTTGTTTTTGGGGCGGCTTACGGTTTAAATAGGGTGTGTTGGGGTTTAGGGTTTTGGGGTTTGGGGTTTAGGTCAAGTTTAGGTTTCAGGGTTCAGGTTGAAGTTTAGGATTCAGGGGAAGGGTTCATGATAGCAGGGGGTGAGGTTCATGAGAAGGGATTTAGGCTTTAGGGTTCGCAAGACGAGGGGTTTTGGGTTTGTGGGTTTTCGGGGCCATCGGCCTAAATCTTGAGCCTCCAGCCTGAACTCGTAGCGTCTTAGGCCTGGGTTGTCTCCAGCCCCTCTCTAGGCGAGGACTTTCTGCGCCGTAGTCCGATAATACCTTAAACCCTAGATCCCTAAACCCTAAACCCCTAAACCCCTGAACCCCTAAACCCTACACCCCTAAACCCTAAACCCCTAAAGCCCCTAAGGCCTAGGAAGTAAACTGCTTAGGAGGACTCCAAAGTGCAACCCCTTGGCCTGATGCCCTAGATAAACCTCCTTGACAAAAGCGTAATGTAGGGGCCTTTAATACAACAACAACAACAATAATAATAATAATATTAATAATAATATTAATA